CCATGTCTGCTTTAAACCCACATGGAGTCCCTAGCCTCAGAAGGTCTGTAATGCAGGCATGTTTTCAGAGTGACAAAAAGCTGTTTAATGATTCACCAGACTCATGACTCACTGTGCATCTTAGGTAGGAGGGAAAATGTGGAGGAGTGAATGCCTTCCCACTCCCAACAGAAAACAACACATAAATATATTCAAAGAAATAATCATGTTGGTTTTGACTTAAAAAACTAAGAGATCTAGAAGAAGTTAATTTGAGACTGAGAAGAAGAAATGTCTAGTACTATATAATCTCTCATATACTCAGGGTGCATCTGTATTGTAGAATCAATGCAGTATGAAACCACTTTAACTACTACCATGGCTCAACATTACCAGCAAGTCAACACTTCTCTATTCTGTCAGGCTTTTAGGAATTGGCAGTGATGAGCTTTTCATGTTGTGTTACTCTGTGTATTCATTTGTTCATTTTACATTTTAATTAATTGTAAATAGCTTATTTATAAACGACATATAATATATAAGGTGCCGTGGTTGGTGCAATGGGTTAATCCCTTGTGCTGCTGAATCTTCTGACCTGAAGGTTGGCAGTTCGAAACCATGTGTCAGGGTGAGCTCTCACTGTTAGCACTAGCTCCTGCCAGCCTAGCAGTTCAAAAAAAATGTGAATAGAGCAATAGGTACCGCTCTGGCGGTAAGGTAATAAAAGAGCTCATGCAACCATGTCAGCAACATGACCAGAGAGGTGCCTACAGACAACAAGCTCCTCGGCTTGGAAATGGAAAAAGAGTACCTTCCTATGGCCATCGTGAGACCACCTCAAGAAGCTGTGAATTTCTGTGTTATTGTTATTTCAATGTATTAAAGGCATTGAATGTTTACGTATCTGTAAATTATCTGTTATCTGTTGTTGTTTTTGTTGTTATTATTATTATTATCCATTTCTGTATGTTTTTAAATCTGTGCTAGGTTTCATAATTTGTTGTTGTTGTTACCCTGCTTTATCTCCCTTGAAGGGGATTCAACCTGTAAGCAACCTCAAATTCAATTACTGGGGGAAAGGCAGTAGTTACTTAGTTAAATGCATTAGTTAGTTAGTTAGTTACAAATATATAGATGCAACATTAGTTTGCATTTCTAGCAATAACGTCACTATTGTGTCAGCATTCCTTACCATGCAGCTGAAAGTTCATTAAAGCTGCAATCTCAAAAACATTCTTCCAGGAGCTATGCTCAATTGAGCTCAGTGGGAGCTGAATTCTGGATACTGAGCTGGAATTTTAATCTGCTTCTATTCCATTGTCAGGCACAATTTGAAGTGCTCGCCATCACTTCTGTATACTAATAGTCCCAAATGGTACAAGGCTAGGATTTGTGAAGATCTGCTTCTTTTAGCAGAATCCTTCCCACCCACTGCATTTAAGATCAGGGGCTCTGCTATGAAGTGTACTACCTTCAGAAGAATGACCTGATTGAGATGTGCAACAAATTGAAAAATTCCATCCAAGTTGAGATCTGATCTACTCTTTCTTTCAGTTTTGTCTTAAAATTTCACCACTACGTTCATCATGCTTGGGTTGTTGTTTTTTTTTTTCAACCAGCTTTGTTGTATTTTATCCTTAGTTGCTTTGGAGTCCCTCTTTGAACCTAAAAACATTTTTCCAAAGCAGGGATGTGACACAGCCTGCTGTGGATACTGAAAAACGGTTCTGGTCTAGTTTACCTGTCCTAACGTATCTCCCCCTATGAACCATTTCAGAGATTAAGATTGTCCAGTAAGGCCCTGCTATCAGTCCTGCCTTCTTCACAGGCATGATTGGTGGGGATGAGAGACAGGGCCTTCTCAGTGGTGGCCCCTTGGCTGTGAAACTTCCTCCCCAGTGATAACTGATCAGCCCCCCCCCCCCTCCTGGCATTCAGAAAGAAAGTGAAAACTTGGCTTTGGGATCAAGCCTTCAGAGAATAATTGTAGTGAAATAGATGGATATGAAATATGTGCAATGACTACTGGAATGGTCCCAGATTACATTGTGGATGGTGTAGTTTTAATAGTGAATATACTGTTTTTAAATGTTTAAATGTGTATTGATTTTAATTTTAATGTTCATTTTAATTGTATGTTGTTTTGAGGCATTGAATGGTTACCTATGTGTAACACCGCATTGAGTCCCCTTCGGGATTGAGAAGGGCGGGGTACAAACATGGTAAATAAATAAATAAATAAATAAATAAGAAGACAAACACTGAAACCATCTCTCAGACTGCACTTGCAGATCTGATCTAATTCACACACGGTGTACATAAAACAGGGAGCCTTTAAAATCAGTTACCTAGTACACTGTTCCTAAACGAGTTTGTCTAACCTCATTGTAAAGTCATCTAAATTAATGGTTTTCTCTACATTATGCAACAGGATATTTCAAAAGATAGTTACATATTGAGAATTGTAGTTCTTCCTCCGGAGCAAATGGTCACATCTACTGTGAAAATGAGTATTATGATGGAGAGGGAAAAAAATATTTTTCTCCTCACTGTTATACATGACTCCTGTTCTCCATCCCTAGTTGCAGACCAATGTTCAGATCATCTTCCATAAAATGTGCTAAGTAACCAATCCTCTCTATTCTGTCATTGTTTGAAGTTATGATATCCATTTTTCAGATAACACATTCTATTCTCCAGTACATTAAGCTTCTTGCTTTTTGCACATGTCATTTAAGTTGATGTAGCTAGCTGCATAAAATGTGTCCAGTATAGACATTGTATCTATTTTTATTTGTTCTAAATGCAATACAAGTCATGAATTATTATCTGGAACTCTGGCAAGAAAGTACATGCTCGTGTGTACTTTTAAAAAGAAACATCTTATGTTATATAAAACTGCACTGAACTACTTTTTTAGCAGCACATATGGGTAGTTTCACACTTGTGTACAAATTCACAGGTGCCCACGAGGGCCATGAAACTGTAGGAGATGGCCCCCCAAAATTATCTTCAGCCTCCTTTCTTATAACATTCTGATTTCTTCCCCAATGCAACTCATCAACTTGGTTTTCCCCCTCCCAGTCTTGCCCCCCCCCCCCAGTCTTAACTCAGGCCTTAATTTCCCTGAATGTGCATTTGTAGAAGACATTTTGCAGTGGAAACCCATAACAGTTGTGCAGTTTAGGAGTCAAAACACACACACATACACATTGTAAACCAATATTTTGTAAAACTTCCAAAACAAATAACGTGCATGTGAAAGGCCTGCAGTTTAAAGGCTACATGCAGATTTTGGTTCAATTATATGTAAACCTCACCCTAGTTTCTATCTTAAACTACCTTGACAGAATGCAAACCTGCACAGTTTTCAATTATGTGGCCTTCCTCCACCATGAAAATATATGTGGTAGTCAAATGCCTAATGGTCGGCCCATTACACTAAAAAGCCATGCAACCTACTACTCAGCCTCCAAAATGTGCATTTCTTTATATAATTGGGTTGCTGTGAGTTTTCCGGGCTGTATGGCCATGTTCCAGAAGCATTCCCTCCTGATGTTTCGTCCACATTAATGGCAAGCATCCTCAGAGGTTGTGAGGTCTGTTGGAAACTAGGCAAGCGTGGTTTTTATATCTCTGGAATATCCAGGGTGAGAGAAAGAACACATGTCTGTTTGAGGCAGGTGTGAATGTTGCAATTGGCCACCTTGATTAGCATGTAATGGCCTTGTCGCTTCAAAGTCTGGCTTGTTGCTGCCTGGGGGAATCCTTTGTTGGGAAGCCCTGATTGATCTTGTCTGGAATTCCCCTGCTTTTTGAGTGTTGCTCTTTATTTACTGTCCTGATAATGTTTCTGAATTCTATCCCCAACCTCCTTCTTACATACAGCCTACTTTTCTGGGTGATTTATTATTTATTTATTTATTTATTTCTTGTACTTATTGACCGCCACTCTCAGCCCTAGGGGCGACTCGTGGCGGTGAACAGCAACATAGAAGGACAGCATACAAAATCATAACAATACATAACAACTACTACTACGACATATACTTATACTAAAAATCCGCTTCGTCTAATCCTGGGGTCATAGCCAAGTTCGTAGTCGTGATGTGAAGTTCCAGACATTTGGCACTTACAAGGGCTTAGCTTCCTTTGGATAAATATAATTGGAGGCTTTGATATTATTCAGTATTTAAATGTATTCTTAAATATACAAGTGGAACACAGGCAAACCTTAACATTCCAGCAGACAAACCAATTCATAGTCAGAGTTCAGATCTCCAGAGAGGCAATTAACAATTTAAAAAACTGTGAACTTGCAGAACAAATCTCTTGGCCTAAGCTTCACTCGCAAACCACTTTTCCTGATTCAGACAGTGGTTTCTATTGTTACCCTTTGCAGACAGACATAAATCACATTTAATTCCTGAATAGGAGTGGTGGAATAAAGGTATTTGGCAATTAGTGCCCAGCAGAAACACCTTACCACAACATCCATAGCTATTAGCACTCCTTTGTCCAAGTCTAAGACTTTGGCCAGGTATCACCCTGAGAGAATCCACATTAAAAGTCCCATACACAAACTTCTGCTACCCAAACTCATTATATTCTCTCAAAGCAGTTACTATACTCCGACCTCAAGAACGGGAAATGTAATGTTGGTGGACAGGAAAAGAGATTTAAAGATGGGCTTAAAGCCAACCTTAAAAACAGTGGCATAGACACCAAGAACTGGGAAGCCCTGGTCCTTGAGCGGTGCTGCAGAATTTGAAGAAGCACGAAAGAAGGACGAAAGGGAGAAACGTGCCAAGACGAGGTACGTCAAGCCAACCCTGACCGAGACTGCCTTCCACCTGGAAACCAATGTCATCACTCCAGGAGAACATATGGGTCAAGAATAGGTCTCCACAGCCACCTACGGACCCACCACCAAAACACTGCACTTGGAGGACCATCATCCTCGGGCTACAAGGGATCACCTAAGTAAGTACGGTAAGTAAATAAATAAGTAACTCTTTTACCTTCATTGAAATTGTCATCAGCTGAGATGTGGGTAAGTGGGGACTGGGGTCGTGAGTCACCACAAAGAGAGTAGCTGTGTTCAGCCTGAATGAGGGGCGCAGGAGAAGCTGGAGACAGCTCTACTTCCATCATCTCATCTTTGTCAGACAGGAAAGGGTCATTCAGGAGCTGCCCCAAAACATCTTGGGAAAAGTCGTCAAGGAGCTCTGTGAAATGCTGTGAAAAGAATGAAAAAGAATCTGACAAAGTGCTCCAACATGGTACCAAAAAAAAAAAAAACAGGAAAAAAGGATAAACCCACTACCATAGACCCTCTGTTTCCAGAGTCTTGATATCAGTTTTTGGGAAGTCATGTCATATGTAGCTTTTATAGGTATTATTATTTATTATTATTATTATTTCAGGCATTTATATCCCATCCTTCTCACACACACCCCGGGGGGGGGGGGGGGGGGGGGGGCTCAGGGCAGCTCACAACCGGCAACCGTTAGATGCCAAACAAACAAGAGTAATAAAATCATAATTAAAACATTACTTAAAAATGTCAAATGATAAACATTCATTTAAAAAATTAAATAAATACAAATCCAGAGTCATAATCCAAGGTCTGTCCATTGTTAGTCACATAAATCATGTACATTATTATCCCTACATCTGCTGCTCAAATGCTTGGTCCCACAGCCATAATTTAAGTTTTCTCCTAAAGGATAGAAGAGAGGGGGGCAACCTGATTTCATTAGGTAGTGAGTTCAACAGACAGGGGGCCACCATCGAGAAGTCCCTGCCAATCGCACTTGCAAGGGTAGTGGGATCGAGAGCAGGGCCTCCTCTGATGAATTTAACCTCCAAGGTGGAACATAGAGGAAGATACGTAAGCTGGGCTGGAACCGTATAGGGATTTATAGCCCAAAGCCAGCACTTAGAATTGTGCTCGGTAGCAAACTGGCAGCCAGTGGAGCTGACGTAACAAGGGGGTGGTATGCTCCCTGTACGCAATCTGGCTGCCATCTGTTGGACTAATTGAAGCTTCCCAACAGTCTTCAAAGGCAACCCCATGAAAAATGTATTGTAGTAATCTATTCGGGATATAACAAGAGCGTGGAGCACTGTGGCCAAGTCAGACTTCCCAAGGTACGGGCGCAGCTGACACACAAGTTTTAATTGTGCAAAAGCTCCCCTGGTCCCCGCCGAGACCTGGGTTTACAAGCTTAGGTAGGTAGCGGTTGTCTCATTCACACAACTAAACTGGGATACTGGGAATACACTTCGGTGCATTTGGGGAGAATGAAACAGCTTTTACTTATTCTATGATGTGCTTGGCTTTTCAACCAATGGCTTCTGACATGCCAGGTACATTCCAGTTTTCAATCCAAATATTAAAGGAACTATTCCAGGTGCTGAACCTATTTTGTGAATAGGGTTAGCTGTCACTTCTTTCACCTCAACCTGTTCGTAAGTTAGTGAGAATTACTTTGTAAGATTAGAATGTCCACTCACTGGAAAAGTTCACTATTAGAATATCTATCTATCTATCTATCTATCTATCTATCTATCTATCTATCTATCTATCTACCTACCTACCTATCTATCTCCCCACTGTTTGGATGGCCAAGCTACTCACGGGGGGGGGGGGGGGGGGGTCTAAGGATAAACTGGGGAGTAGGAAGGGTTGGGATGAGGCTCATAATATAATAGGGGCTTGTGTTCCTTTGAGGAAAAAATATAGTACACATGTAAAGTTTGGAGCCATACTGCCTCAATTTCTGACCTACATTCTTTGCTGCTTGGAGAGGTTGGAAATGTTTGATTACAACAGGAGGACAATTAACGTTGGATGGGGGATTCTGCAAGTTTGGGGGTTTTTTCGCGTCAGGAGCAACTTGAGAAACTGCAAGTGACAGAATTGGCTGTCTGCAAGGACATTGCCCAGGGGACGCCCAGATGTTTTACCATCCTGTGGGAGGCTTCTCTAATGTCCCCTCATGAGAAGCTGGAGTTGACAGACAGGAGCTCACCCTGCTTCTCGAATTTGAACCACAGACCTTTCAGTCAGCAGTCCTGCCGGCACTGGGTCACTCCAATTCTGGATGCTGCAATATGATAAACTAGCCTTTCCAAGTTTTCTGTATTGTCAAACTTTATTGTTGCATCCTTCGTCATATATTCAAAGCACATACATGGCACCAGGCCCCAATCCTGACCCACATGCATAACAAATGTTTATTTGTAGACTTATCAGTGTAATCCAGGATCCTCCCACATTGCAGAGCTTTGGTGACACATACAGTTCATACATGCACACGTCCTTTGTCAACAGTCTAAATTAAACAAATGTTAAATGGACTACAAGCCGATGTCCCCCATATGAACATTTAGCCTGTGCACTTTGAGCAGAAACTAAGGGCTTTATTAATCAATAGTCCTAAAATTCATCTTATGCCAGTAGCCAGCTATCTACTGTACACTAAACCAGAACTAGGCACCCTGGATATATTTTTTAACGACAACAGCTATTAATTATTTGCAATCAGATCCAATGATGATGGCTTATGGGAGTTCCTGACATACAACATCTAAAGAATTATACCTGCTTAGTTTTGAGTTCAATACTGTGTTAAAGGCTTCATTTTGCTACCTCTTAACCTGTGGCCTATTTAACTGAATGAGCCAAACTTCTAGCACTGGAAGGGAGCATGCACATTCACAATGCAATTTGATAAGTTGAAATGGTCCAATAAATATTGTCGAAGGCTTTCATGGTCGGAATCACTGAGTTGCTGTGAGTTTTTCAGACTGCATGGCCATGTTCCAGTAGCATTCTCTCCTGACATTTCACCTGCATCGGCATCGGATGCCAGTCACAGATGCAGGTGAAGCGTCAGGAGAGAATGCTACTGGAACATGGTCATACAGCACAAAAAACTCACAGCAAGCCAAATGTTAACTTGAGATGTATGCATAACTTTAGTACAACATGTCGGTCCAATGATACTTTTCCCCAACTGGCCTGATTCACATATGCATTGATACCTTTTGGTTCTCTGAATCTCACTACTGAATATTTCACATGATGCATATGTTTATTTAATACGCTATCAGCATCAAATAGTGATTTGTATACTGGAAATTATCACTGGAAATTCTGTGTGGGAACTCTGTGACCAAGTTGCAACTCTGTTCTTCCTTTTCTTTTTAGAGTTATCAACCCAAGTATTTAGTAACTTTACTAGAAAAGTACACATTCCAATATTTGATTATGTTTATTTACCAAAAGCTCATTGAGCATACACTGACCTAACCTTTCATATCTTATGTGACAGAAGAAGAATAGCTTTGTTTTCTGGGTTGTTGTAGGTTTTTCCGGGCCATATGGCCATGTTCTAGAGGCATTTTCTCCTGACGTTTCGCCTGCATCTATGGCAAGCATCCTCAGAGGTAGTGAGGTCTGTTGGAAGTAGGAAAATAGGATTATATGTCTGTGGAATGACCAGGGTGGGACAAAGGACTTTTTGTCTGCTGGAGCTAGGTGTGAAGCTTTGTTTTCTGTTGCTCAGAAGAAAGGACAGGACAACTGTGGGTAGAAAGAACAAAGAAGCCATTTGTAGCAAAACCTTAGAAGGCTCCTAAAAAAGAAGACCTTGAATAGGGGAACTGGCTGCTCCTTTTAATAGCTCTTTAAGCAAATGTTAGATTTAGTAGTACTCGGATGGGAGACTGCCAAGGAATACGAAGTCCTCTATGTTATATTTCTGAGGGAGGAAATGGCAATCCACCTCTGAATATTCATTGCCCATGAAATTCAACGTATGTGGACAGGTGACTGATTAACATTATGGTAGTTAGAAGAATCCTGACATCAACATGGGACTGGGCTGGATGTGCTCAAAGATTCCTGCTAGGTTACCAAAAAGCCCTATGGATCCTCGATCAATTACAAAAATAAAGCCTTGTTTAAAATGCACAAAATGCAAAGATGAAGAGAAATAGCTTGTGGCCAAATTCATGTCAAAAGCACGCACACTCACAAGAGGAGCAAGGTCAGCAGCAACATTATGAAACAAATTTTAATGTTGACAAAATTGAGAGTCAAAATGAATGAAGGAGCATATTTCATCCGACCAAGCGATACAAAATACTTCAGGATGTGCTGTCAAAACACCATATTCTCTATATACACAGTTATGTATCATAGGGTCTCTCTGGTCTCTGAGAAGCAGAACTTCAGCTCTAGGGGAAATATGTTTTTCTAATTTTTCCTTGCCCATACATCCCGAAAGAAGTACCGTATATACTCAAATATAAGCCAGCCCCAATATAAGCCGAGGCACCTAATTGTAACTACAAAATAACTGGAAAAGTATTGACTCGAGTATAAGCCAAGGGTGGGAAATGCAGCAGCTACTGGTACATTTCAAAATAAAAATAGATACCAATAAAATTACACTAATTGAGGCATCCATAGGTTAAACGTTTTTGAATATTTACGTAAAACTGTAATTTAAGATAAGACTGTTGTCCAACTCTGATTAAACCATTAATCTAGCTTTCTTCAATGTAAATGTGCTTACGTATCCTTCCAATAATAAAGTAAAATAATAAATGGAAAATGTAATATAAAATAAAATAATGGAAATGTAATAATAATAGAGTAAAATAATAAATCTATATAAATAAAAATGTAATGTTCGTTTGTGGGATTAACAGAACTCAAAAACCAGTGGGCCAATTGCCACCAAATTTGGGCAGCATACACCTAACAACCCAACGTATGTCCTTCACTCAAAAAAAAAATGATTTTGTCATTTGGGAGTTGTAGTTGCTGGGATTTATAGTTCACCTGAAATCAAAGAGCATTCTGAACCCCACCAACGCTGGAATTGAAGCAAACATGGCACACAGATCTCCTATGACCAACAGAAAATACTGGAAGGGGTTGGTGGGCAGTGTCCTTTGGTTTTGGAGTTGTAGTTCACCTACATCCAGAGATCACTGTGGACTCAAACAATGATGGATCTGGACCAAACGCTACACGAATATTCAATATGCCCAAATGTGAACACTGGTGGAGTTTGGGGAAAATAGAATATTGACATTTGGGAGTTGTACTTGCTGGGATTTATAGTTCACCTACAGTTAAAGAGCATTCTGATCCGCACCAACGATAGAATTGGGCCAAACCTCCCACACAGAAGCCCCATGTGGGCCACAGCAATGCG